GGAATCTGAGATTAGGAATGGGGGGTGTGTGTATATATAGGCATAAGTGGAGCTAGGAGAGTCCAAATGAGGTGCGGTTTTCGCCCACACGATCGTGATCGAACGACCGAGACGATGGAGCAGAGTTTGGTGGGTTTTTGTGCCAAATTTGGGGGTGTTGGGCTGCAACACACACGAGGCCTTTTCGGTCCCTCGGTTAACCGTTGGACTATCAAACGAAGTCCAAAAGGTACGAAACTTGACAGGTCGTCTACCGGTAGTAAACCAAGGCCGCTTGGCAAGTCTTGGTCCAATCCGGAAATGTTTAATTCCCAAACACGAAAGAAAGCTAGAAATGACCACCGGAGGAGAACAAAGCGCCGGAATGCAAAACGGACAACGGGGAAAATGCTCGAATGCATGAGATGAACACGTATGCAAATGCAAGGCACGTGATGACATGGTATGAGATGCATGAAAACGAAAACAACACACGGAGACAAGGACCCGAACCCGAGAAATAAATATAACTTAGCGCCGGAGACGGCAAGAGTTGGAGTACAAATGGGGAAAGTTACATCTGGGGCGTTACATGGGTGTCCGGGACTGTGTGTCCTTAGGTTTAAATACCTAGCCGCCCTAACCAGACGTACAGTTGTCTTCAACGAGTCATTGGTTTCATCCTTCCCTTCCCTTTACTTACTGCTGGTCCTTGTGAAGTCATTGTATGATTGCACTATCTTTTGTCTTCACTGAGTGATTGCGTGTTCTGTTTGGCTTCAGAATATCTTCCTACCTGATCCTTACTACCTAGCTGCTATTAGTCACTGTGCTTTCACTTCATTGAATACTTGACTATGGTTTGCCTAGTGTAGTCTACGTTCCGCTGCATGGTAATAGGTTTATTTCTGTTGTTTGTCTTCGAAACTTCCACGTTTTGAAGACTTCCATAAAAATCGCCTATTCACCCCCCCCTCTAGTCGATATAACGCACTTTCACCGTCCAAGTTGAGGGGCTAGGGCTTGAATCCGGTCGGTTGTCCGACAGTGCCGTAGTTGAATAAGCATTTCCTTTATTTACTTCTAGAAGGACTCGAAGTGAGACCAGAGAGAGAAGAGTTTTCCCGCAAACCATAGCGACAAGCTAGTCTCAAAACAAAAGAGTTCTTTTTACAATAGTGGGCTTGGAAAAGTAAGGAAAGTCAAGCCCGGTGATTCTATGGGAAGGGACGGATTTCGAATTCCTTTTTCCTTCCTTTTTATGCCACCTCCTCCCAATCCTTGAAGATATGAAGCAATATTTTATTAAGACTAAGTGAAGGTTGGTATGGCCCAATCCCATCATTTAAATGAGAGTGGATCGAGGGAATGGAATCTAGACTATAGATTGAACTATAAAAAAATGCAATCTATTCATTCATTCATCTTATCTTCCATTTTAGAAAGTAGCAAGCAGCGAATAAAATGGCTGCAACAAGAAGTTTTGCACTCTAACTCGAAATGGATTTCGCTCATTGAAAGTGTCATCCCTTGCTTTGTTCTAACCGCCCTTCCTTTAAGTTTCAGTATTCGAAACTCTTCCTAGAATTAGATTGTTTATTTAGTATAGAATAGGAGAAGAAGTGCTTCATTACCCCCAGTATTCCCGCATGTATCATTGAAAAGGGCGAGGTGTTGTTCAGGGTTCCCTACCCCATTCAACATTTTGCATTTTGGCGCAGTATAGTATACCCCTTCCTTGGGGTACGGTACCATATCAAATTCACTAGGGCCTCTTTCCTCTCTTTTTGTTGGCAACCCCTTTCAATGTATATTTGATTTGGGAGGCTACTAATTCTCGAATTTCTTCTCGAGACATCCCCGTCAGGCAACTTCTCTTCAGCATGGGTCGTTGGTCTTTGTGGGAGATAATGTGTCAGCCGTGGTAGAAGTTGCTCCCTGAATAGGCATGGGCGCCCGCCTAGATGAAGGGATTTTCTCATCTTAAGGTGTTGGGAGGAGTAAAGGAGATTGACTCTTCTCTGTCATTAGCCTTTTTATTGACACTAGCTCTTTATATAGTAATTTTTTTGGAGGAGTATCGTATCGGTAGGCATAGATCATTGGTATTGGATGTATCGTTAGGTTGTGCCAAGTCAAATCAGCGGATATTATTTTTCTTTCATTGCAGAAAAGAGACTCCTTACCCTTTCTTTAGAAAATGATGAATATGAAGTCCGGGAGGCTGTGGGTACTATGGATCCTCTGACTCCCAATCGGGTTACCGTCCTGGGTCTCGCCGGTGTTGCATGTAGGTCGTGATGTGCCTCGAGATGGCCGTCTCCTGTCCCCCTGCTCGTGGGGAATCCGCTCCTGGGGTGCCGCTCTGATGCGTCTGGCCTGTCCTATAGGCACCTTTGGAGGACGGGGAGTGTGATAACGTACACGCTTCCCTTTACTCCATAGGGCCTTTTCCTCAGTTGCAGGGTTTGGTGGCCCAAAATTGACTTGGCTTCACCAAAAGGCCTCATCTCCAAAGCCTGACTCGCGAGGCGTCCCACTCGCTGTAGGGCGGAGCCCCCTCGCCTCGCTCTTGTGACATACTATGTTTCCCTTCTTCCATTCTCAAGTCAAGGGTGAGTCCCATGCGTCAGTTTGTGGATCACAGTTTCATGCACTAATCCCTACAGGTGCCCATAGTAGGCCGGCCGCCCTACCTAAACAAATCATCATATCGGTCCCTAGGCCCCATTGCTGGAAAGGCTCGGCTTCAAATCCATACGTGGAGCTTCCGCCTCATACGGCTCCTCTAGGGATGAGGGTAGGCCCAGCCCAGGCTTGTGCGGTTAAGGTTGTTGTACACGACCTCAGTTGAGCATTCGGTTAGAGGCCGCGATCACAGGTTCGCCGGAGGAGAGGGCATTGCGAGCAAGATTGCACAAACAAAGCCCTCCTGCCCGCAGCCCTATTCTAGAAATTAGGCTGGCTATGTTACTTATAACCGCAGAACAAGAAATGAATCCCCAACGACAAACGAACAAGGGGTGGGGCATTTTCGAGGAGTAGCCCCTTCAGAAGAAACTTCCTGGCACATACATTAAGGGAGCCATCGAAAGGTGACTAAAACACCTGAAACGGGGACTACCTGAGCTAATGATAGAGGCAAGAACACTTTTCGGCCAAGTCCCATTAATTGATCATAACGATATCATGGAAATGTTGCATGGACCCATATATAGAAACAGAAAATAAGAACATTGATACTAAACCAGATCAAACAAGGGATCCTTTTGGAAATGGGAAGATGTAGGATAGGCAGCCAACCTCCTGGAAAGAGCGATGTGCATAGACCGAGTGAGTAGGGATGCAACTCCGTGGACCATTCGTCGGGCCTGATAGGTGGTGGTATCACACCCTTGTCAAAGGAACCGTACGTGAGACTCTCGCCTCATACGACTCCGTCCTGGAATCTGGACCCCCCTTTTCCTTTGACCAATGGGTCCTCGAATCCATGGGGGTTACGAATCATTCATTCATTGATTGATTGAAGGTAGCTTTAGCCATTGTGGGTAGAAGCTAGTCGCCAGAAGCGAAGCAGCAATCTTCCGGGCCGGAAAGGTTCTAATTTTCTGATGCGTAAGCTACCGCAAAATGAATGAAGGAAAAAGGCCTCAGGATTAGAAAGACTAAAGAGGCATGGAGGGCTGACTACAAGACTACGACTACAATACAAGCCATGAGCGATAGCGAAGCATTCAGCCTTTTTTCGAAAGCCCCGCAACTAGCTATCTTATAGCAGATAAGGCAAGCCTACTCAAGTAATCTCATGTAAATGCCTGTTCGCTAAAATCCAAATAGAAAAAGACAACTACTTATTAAACATGTTGTTGAGTGCTCCGTCGTTGTTCGGATCTTGACCGAGTCCAAGCTTCCCAAGCTCTATGCTATTTGGGAACTCAGCAAGGGTCTTACCACCTTCTTGGTTGATAATATTTGAGTCTTTGGGGTACTTTAGGATTATATTCCACGCCGAAGATTTGTTCTTGTGGGCTAGGATGAATATAGCGGACCAACGGATCTGGTAGTCAACAATTGTTCGGACTTGGTAAAGGTTGTCGCAACACCTGTAGTAGGACAGAGGACTTATCGCGATGCCCGCGGACTAGTTTACTATGTCTCTGTCGCTGACGTTTGTCAAAGAGGCGACGTGGATTGGCCTGGTACTTCTTCAGCTAATGAGACCTCGATCCTGAAGCCTTCGGAGTATCTTTTTGATAGGCGCCTCTATCTTTATGGGGAATTCACTGCTGAAAGATCCCGCCCAGTGTCCCCTTCCTTCCCCCGCCGCCTTCCGACCAAAGGGAGTATACAATTTCTTCTTTAGGACACTCATGCCCAATCATGATACTGCCTGTTGAATGCCTGATGGCACCTTGCTCTGACCTGAGCTAGGCAATAACGAGATCCTCCTCGTTCTTTGCCGGATGTGCTTGACGGTCCCCCATAATATGCTAACTTGGGGACTTTTTAGTCCATCTTTTCCAAGAGTCTCCGCTAGTTGAACCGCATCCAGTAGACAAACTCTTCCGCTCATCCCCTTCGTTAGCTCTTTGATAGGGATACTATAACCTAGGTCCCTAAACTTGGAATGGATGGCGGAGTGTAGATGGCAAGCAGTTATATGGATACGGTGCTTTACCCGTCGTTGCTTCTCCAGCTCTCGCGAGAATTGTATGGGAGTCGTCCTCGGGGGGACTTCCCGAATGACCATACCGGGGAATTCTACCGTACTCCGTGCATCTATGGTTGTTGATCCTGCAGAGCCTACCCAAAGGTTCAGACTGGATTGTAGGAAGTGGGTGATACTTTTTTGTATTCCTATGAGAAGAAATACGACACCCACGATTCCCAGTAGTAAGTCGTCGGCATATCGCGCGTAACAAATCCTTATTAATAAGGAATGGCTTTTAAAGGTGGCCAGCTTATGGGCCAGGCCTCTCTCTGACCTGATAACTAGTATCGCCTTCTCGCCCAGCTCTATCAGCAGGCCCCTTCTCTTGCAATACTTAAGAAGGTCTCTCATGGCCAAATTCCTATTAAAGCCTTCTCTACCATTGAATTCGGCCTTCGGGGTCAACCCAGCGGCTTCTATGAGGAAGGTGGCGCAAAGGAGGCTCGAGGGCTTGTTAAGGAAGGCGGCTAGGGCCGCTGAAGGGGGGAAAACAAAAGGTGTTTTCTGGTATCCCCTTCGCCTGGGGGCGCTTGTGGGGGGGTGTGACACGACGAAACAAGGGAATGAAAGTTCGCTTTGCGTTGGGTGCTCCTTACCCTCCCCACTATGAGGGATCTGTTGTCTTGGGGAGCATTGAAGCTTGCTTCTTTTCCATACTTTTCTTGGTCATCAATACGACAACCTATTCTTAATAGAACAGATCTTATTTTCACTACAAGAGGAATTTTGTGCTTCTGCCGGATCCTCCCTATCTCCTGATCGAGCTTGTGTAGGTAGATATTGCCTGGTAGGGTCGATAGTAGTACACTGTTTGGGATGGAGTGAGGGCCCTTCTCACCACTTACGAGTCGTCCGGCAGAAAACTTTTTCTGAGTGGGGTAAAAGAACTTGGAATCGTCGATCTCTTCCTTTAAGATTGAGATGAATCGATGTCGGTCGATGGTGTGAAAACACTTCCGAATGTCGAATTCCAAAAACTAGCGAGAGGTTCCCCACTCTTCTTTGTCCTGTCTGAGGGCGGAGTGGAAGCCTCGACCCGAGCGGAAGTGCGATGTGTCTAGAAACTCGGGATCATAAATGGATTCGGGTACCATTCTGATCGCCTCTTTCATGATCTTTTCTATGGGCAGAACTACTGTGAGCAGTCTAAACTTCGACCCTTCTTTCTTTCTTCATTAAAAAAAGGGGGAGCAAAGCCTGTTTTTTGCTCCCTCAATTGATAGATCAGGGCCCCTCCTACCGGCCCGAATGAAAAGCTCTTTCAGGAAGTAGTCCCATCACTCTCAGGCCCGGCACCAACCAAGAGGAGGCGGGGCTCTCTCCAGTCATTCCGAAGAGCCGTGATCTCGTAAAGGAAAAATTAGCTAGCTCAGCAGGTTTGGACCTGGGTGAATTAGTTCAGTGAAGGAAGGGAGCCTAAACTTAAGGCTTTTCCAAGCCTTGCCGATAGGTGCCTCATGGCTCGCTTAGTTCGCTTGCGGAGTTCTTAGATCAGTAGATCTGCATAGAGTCTCGCTCATAAAGGAAGAATAGCGCCCTAGCACGGATCGCTTCGCTTTTCGACGTGGAGCTCGCTGCTGTCTTTTTAGCTTCAAAACTACAGAGCATGTGTTAGCACTACGGCTTTTCAGCCTCCCTTTGCTGGTTCCGAACTATCACTGATCCTAGAGATCAACCTTCAAACCTTTTTCTTTGAATCTCAGGAAGGCTTTCTCGGGGAGAAAGCTGGTTGGGGAACTGCTAAATGACCTAAAAGAAAAAGAGGAGACTGACTCTGACCTTTCAAAGCCCTATCTCATCTGGTTGATAGTAGAAGGTACGTACGATGATACCATGGACATAAATGAGGTCGTGCATATCTTTAACGATTACAACCTAAAGCGTACCTAAAGCCTGCCCTGGATATGAAAAAGGGATTTGAGCCAGAAGAAGATGAGGATCTATCACTAGATGAGGAAATGGAAACAACTAAGTATTAGTTCGGTTTAGGTTCAGGAAATGGAAATGGTAACAACGGCCCAAAAATGGTAAGGTTTTCTTTTCAAAGAAAAAGGACCGCAAAAGTTTTGCAAAATCCTTGTCTTTCGGCTTTTTAAAGAAGATAGGCCATTACAAAAAGAAGGTATAACAGTCGACTTTCCTATCAGGATTTTAGAACATGAATACCAAGGGACCACTATTAGAAGAGAGCATAATAAGTAAATGCTGACGCCATCTTTGACTTTTTGAATGGTCAGCGGCGCCATAAACTCGATAATCCAGCACCGTGGAGTCAAGAAATTCAACTAAATAGAATCCTAAAATAATCTTATTCGAGCACACACAGGACCCACAACAATGAAATTCACACAAGCAGCAATCATCCGAGCAGAGAATGGACAAGGGAAATATACTTGAAATTGTATATTTCCCTTGTCCGAATGAGAAAGCCTTTGGCAAACTCCTTGCAAATCTGTTTTTGAAGGGCATAATAGACATATCTGCTCAGTCACAACATAAGGAATCCCCCAATGTTCCTCAAAGCCTACCCGGGCTGACAGCTTTACTTGAATGATCTGATCCCGAAGCAAGCTTTCTACTTAAATTGCTATGACTGGCCAACTAATGATAGGACTACCTATCGTGATGCTTTGAATCTGTATTCAAAGCTTTTTTCTAACTACCGGGACTACTAATTTCAAGTACAAAGCTCTCCTATGAATATGATACTGCTCTTACTTTCTATCGGAATCCGAGCATTGAAGCAAGCTCTTTATCGCGCCATAACTGAGTCTCTCCATGAAACTCTGACCAATCCACCCGTCATTGCAAATAACTGCTCCTTGCTCTTTGATTGTATGTCCATTTTTGCTTGATGTCTGGCTCACCAGATCTGGTACATGAAAAAGCCATTCCTTTTCGCTTTTCATCGACCACTCAGTATACTTTTTTACTGGAAGAGTCAAGCGAAAGCAATTAGTTTTGAAGGAAGAGGAAGACCTAGCGGGCTTATATCCTCATTTCACTCTTTTTGCTCCTGTGAGACACGACTCAACTACTTTTTACAATTGACAGGGTAGCCCGGAGGTCAGACGAAGGGTCTTCCCCATAAAGATAGGTTAGTACTTGGAAGGTTCAGATGAAGGAAGGGCCGAAACAAGGCAAAAACTATTCAATGGGATAAATAAATATGAGCAATCTGTGAGAATAGCAAACCCCTATCTCTTAAAAAGAAGAAGATAGATAGGTCCACGAGTTGGAATAAGTGCAAGATCCTCAACAAAATGGATTAAGGTGGGCTTCGGATTTTTCATAATTGTTTTCTATCTTTTCATCAAGTTCTTGTTTGATCTACTGCTATTATCACAATATCCCTCCTTTTAGGGTTAATGCTATCAATGGTGAACCGATCATTCGCTACCCTTTTGTTAGAAGAGCTTTTTTGAATGGAAGAAAAGTAATGAAAATCGCGATGGCTACCGAATAACCTCCTTTGATTTTTTTAATAATAAACCCTTTGACCTTTTTCTTTGTTCACCAAATCTTCTTCAGTTCTATCCAAGCTTGGTTTTGTCTGAATCTTTGTGGAAGAAGAAGCGGTTCACCAGCCACTAGATCCAGGGATCCCACAAAATCATTAAAACCTGGCGGTTGCTCACTCTTTGATCAGTGATTCACCGGCCACTAGATCGATGAAGAATCTCTCAAAAATCCGCTTTTTGATCAGTGATTCACCAACCACTACATTCTTGGATCCCACCTTATTCTCAAACCTGGTGGCTCGCTTGATTGGCAGTCCTGTAAGCTCATCTTGCATACAAATTTTGGGGGTACCAGGGCCTGCATCCACCAAGAACATTTCTTCCCTTAAGCGTAAGCATAAAACTGAAGATTGTGAGGCGTTTCCACTACATCATAAGAAACTAGAATTAGATCCTGGAAATGATCGACTCCAATAGATGCTCATCATAAGCTTTTTTTCCTCCTATTCCTATTGATCAGAAGTATCTAGCAGCGCCATGCCAGAGTGACTTCCGAAGCGCTACGGACAGGACGAAATCCGGCAGCCAGTTGCTGGCTTTGAATAACCAACCCAACAAGAAGCTAAATTCTTCCATAACATAACATAACGGGGCGGGGTTGCGCGCGAGCCGAGTGACGTAGGTGCACAAGAGTAATTCGCGCCACAACCATCTCTTTTTTATAGGTTCTACAAACCGATGCCTCCTGCTTCATCTGGTAAAAAAGAGTCATAGATATGCCTGTAATTAGAAGGAAGAACTGCCATAAAAATCTTCCTCGTCTATCGTTTGTAGGGGAACTATGAACGGGAGCTAGCAATCCCGACCGTATTGAAAAAGTTCCTAAGACACATCATGGAAGAGTCAAAATTTCTGAAGCGAGTTCCAAGAATGAAGAAGGGGTAGAATTATTGAATGAATAGGAGCTGTGGCTAATACCCGAGGCATAAAAGATGCATTTTCTACGGGATCTCGAAACCACCAGCCACCCCGACCTAATTCATGATGAGCCCACCAACTTCCTGGCGATATGCCTATGGTTAAAAACAACCGACATGTCAAGATCCAAATCCGAATTGGTTCCTGGTCCTGGTCAGAGACCACCGTGTTCATGCCGGCGGTCCAACAAAGAGGCGAAGTAGTGGTGTCTTTCTTTCCATTACGAATGACACACTTCGCCTGCTCCCTCCCCGTGTCCATTAGCGCTCCTGTCTAGAGCAAAGAGAAGGCGAAAAAGCTCCACCGAAGCAGCATGAGCAGGCTTCTATTGCTACGCAACAATAGAGCAGGCGCACCACCCATAAAATGTTTGAATGATCGGGTAAAGAGCGAGCTTCTTATATGGGATCTGACACATCCAGCAGAGTGAAGCAGCGCTCCATTTTTGTTGGTGGCATCCTTCCGCATTGGCGGCGAGTGGAGTGCCACAATCCCATTCATCATTTTTTATCTACATAACCCAAAGCCCATAGCACTGGCAACATCTCCTGCATAACTACAAGGAGGATGTATAGCTGATATAGGATCTTGTGGAACTGGATTTGATTCTGCAAGAGGTTCGGTATGAACGAAGAAATTTCGAACAAAAGGATCGAAACTCGCTGATAGGAAAGGAGAGAAAAACAAAGCAATGCCAAGTGCTTCGTCAATCTGCTGTTCATCGATAGACGAAGCTCTCTCTCTCTTCTCATCTCGTGCCAGATGTAACAAAAGATTAGTCCTTTTTCCTTCTCGCGAACCACGGGAGCGCCCAGCGCCCAGAAGAGCAAAGCTCACTTTCAAAACAGGGTCAAGCGGCGCATTAAAAAGGGATGGCCCGTTAAAATGACGCTTACTTTGTGAACGAAGTTC